TTTTTCTTTTAATTGTTCATTAATAATGTTTAAAATCTGTTTTTCTCTTCCCAATAACCATAATAAATTAATTGTTTCCTTTTCTCAATACTAGCGGCGGCGCATCTCTATTGGCATATTAGGGTTACAAATTTCTTGTTCCTTTCCTCCAAAGAGGGTCAGCCCATTGGGCCTGTTTGGTCCAACATCGTTACCACTTTCCTTTATGTTTTAATAAAATCATGTTAATAAACGAATAACAGCATAGCTCAACTGGCCAGACCTCTAATAATACACCTTGGGGACCCGGGTTCAACCCTTGCTGGGGGCATTTTCCATTTTCTTTATTTTTTTAGTTTCTTTAGGCTTTGTCTTTATGTATTTTATTTTATATATTTCATAAAAAACATACTTATTTAATTCCTTTCTTTACATAGTTATTGCATGAAAAAAAATACAAAGAAACATGTTTGCTTTAATTAATTTTTCATTTTGTTATTTACTAAATTATTTTGTTTAATTTTCTTTAATTCATTATTTAACTTAATAAAATACCCAAAATAAGTTAAAATTAGGTTTCGATACTCATTTCACAATAAGTTGTAAAAATATTATAATACTATTTTTTCTTTAAAAAATAAATATTTAGGGTCTTAGTTCCTTTAATTGTTCATTCAAACCCCGATGTCACACTCCTTAGTTAGCTCCGTAAGGCGATTAAAACCCGTTCGATCACCTTATGTCGAAATAGACTTTTTCCTCATTTGTACATAGCAAACAAATAGATTTTGATTCCCCATTTAACCTTTTCTTCTTTTGTAATTAAAACTTAACATTCACAAATCAAAAATCCAAAAACGTTTAATCATTACTTGAATTTATTTTAAAACTCACAAAAACACCCAACCAAGCAAAACTCCCCCAAAAGGGCATGTTATCTCCGTTCTACTGTGATACCGGCCGTGCCTATCGCTAGAATGTGTGCGTTAACGTCGCCCACTAAAAAAAACAAACAAACCAACCATTTTCTAGAGGAACTACGGTGTTCTAATTCCTTTATTGGATACGTAGGCAAAGGGTCGCGAAACCCTCACGAACGCAATAATCAAAAACCATCCATTTCCCTTTAAGCAAGCATAGTTGTAGATAAATACACCATTTTGAGACAAACAAACAAAATGGATCTTGTTGAGTACAACGGATGTGAGGGGTGCTAATACCTTCCCCTCGCATAACTGACTCCCTTACCCTTTCTCTTGGTCGCAAGACCATCTTATCCATTCCCTTGTGGTTTTATCGATATTTCCCCTTCCTTCGGGATAAATAAAGTTTGGTGGCGGCTCTATGTTTTCTGCCGGTGGTTTCACTACTATATCAGGAATTCATTATCTCCTTGTGCTTAACATCATCCTTTGATTAGGGTAGGGTTTATTTCTTTAAATCATGTACCGTTAGGGTAAGGCTATAATCAAGGGATATCGTCCATGAACAATCAGGGTTTCAATTGATATATCTTTGGCAAAATAAAAAGGGAACCATTGCTTGAATCTCAAGTCATACGGGCACAAGCTCTATTCCAGAGGAGAAGATTCAGTTGGACCTTCTTCACGAATCAGGGTTCGTACGCCTTATAATGCAAAGCTCTTCATCTGGTCGATTGGCTTACCTGCGATATAATCCATGTTGATTCAGATTTCATTTCAACGCTTTGAAGATCAAAACCTAAAAGCTTTTTGTGGAAGTTTAAGATTTATATCCTATCATACTTAGGTTTATCAACATCCCCAATGGAGGTTCATGAGATAATGAGGCATGATATAAGGATGGCAATGTAAATTCATTAAGACCAAGGCGGTTTGGTTCTCTTATTATTTGTTATACAAGGTTGATAGGGATCAACGTGTTGGATCCATTCTCTCACGAAGGACATAGGATGATGTTAGGGGCCATTTGGTTCATGATCATCAATTGAAGATTGGTCTCGCTTCATGGCTTATGATATAGGTCATTTGCTTTAGGGTTCATTCAGGAAAGTGGAATTCTGATCACGGAGTTTACTTTAGATTATTTCAAGATAAATATCATGTGAATTCAAGTTTTGTTAAAGAATTGGATTAAAGTTCATTTACCAAGCATGCAAGGTTAGAAAAGGATTCATGCGGGATTTCTTGAGAAACAAGTTATTTAGAATTTAGAGCAAATATCAAGTTCATGCATGCATAAGGGCGTTCAAGAATTATTCAAGGCTATTTCAAATTTCAAGATCACAAATCCAAATTTCATTCACCGTTCAAGTGACCCTAATGCAATATCATTCAAGGTTTTCAAGCATTTTTAAGACAGAATTTTAAGTAGAAATTCAAAAAAACAAATTCAAAATGTGAGGCCTTTTCGAGTTATCGTTCGTTACACATTCAAATTTTCAAAACAGCTTCATTCACGGTCGTCCATGGAAACCATGAACAAAAAGAAAAAAAGAACATTACAAAAGCAAAAGCATGGTAATTGTGCAGTTGTACTATCAGCTGTTAAGATGATCCTTCAATAAATGGAGCTCATCACCAGTACTGATGTGGTCCGGAATCTTTGCAAAAAAAGGGCCCCTCCTCTTGTGACATTACTCTCAGCAGAACATGAGATACAATATATTGCCCTGCGAAATATCAATCTTATTGTACAAAGAAGACCGACAATTCTTGCACATGAAATTAAGGTGTTCTTCTGCAAATACAATGACCCTATCTATGTGAAAATGGAGAAATTAGAAATTATGATAAAGCTTGCTACAGACCGAAATATAGACCAAGTTTTATTGGAATTTAAGGTATATGCTACTGGAGTTGATGTAGATTTTGTTAGAAAGGTTGTTCGTGCAATTGGCCGTTGCACCATCAAATTAGAGAGAGAAGTTGAGATATGCATTAGTGTATTGCTTGAGTTGATCAAGATAAAAGTAAATTACGTGGTTCAAGAGGAAATCATTGTTATCAAAGACATATTTAGATGATACTCCAACACATATGAGTCCATAATTGCAACTCTTTGTGAGAGCTTAGACACCTTGGATGACCCCGAAGCTAAGGCATCAATGATTTGGAAAATTAGTGAATATGCAGAAAGAATTGACAATGTTGACGAGCTTCTTGTAAATATTGCTACATTATCTTCTGTTTATCACAGTCACCCATGTTTCCATAATATAATTCAACAGATATCTCTCAAACTCATTAACCCCAAAAACCGTCTATGTTTATAAACTAATCTACTAATTTGTCATAACTAATCTCACATTACATATACATCCAAATTGTTATTATTTTTCAGAGTCCAAAGCTCTTGACATTTTTCAAAAGTGTTATGGTGAGCTTATAGCATGGCGGTTGAAAGGTATGGAATTGCCAAAGATGTTACAGAATTGATTGGATAAACCCCTTTAGTATATCTGAACAAAATCACGGATGGTTTTGTTGCTCGTGTTGCCGCGAAACTTGAATTGATGGGGCCATGTTCCAGTGTTAAAGACAGGACTGGCTATAGTATGATTACTGATGCAGAGGAGAAGGGGTCATTACGCCTGGTAAGAGTGTCTTCATTGAGGCAACAAGTGGTAACGCGGGAATCAGATTGGCCTTCCTAGAAGCAGTAAAAGGCTACAAGCTTATCACTATAATGCCTACTATAATGTGTCTTGAAAGAAGAACCATTCTTCTATATTTTGGGGTTGAGTTGGTTCTGAAAGATCCTGCAAAAGGGAATGAAAGGGGCAGTTCCGAAAGCGGAAGAGATATTGGCCAAGACTCTAAATACATATATCCTTCAACAATTTGACAACCTTGTTAATCCAAAGGTGCATTATGAAACTACTGGCCCAGAGATATGGAAAGAGTTTCTAACCAAGACAAAAACAAAAATAACTGATTCCCTTACAAACATAACCATAATCAATAACAACTTCTTTGTGATCTCCATCATCATAGTCTGTGTGATCTCCATCATCATAATCTTCTTATGCATCATCTTTGCAGCATCTCAACATCAACCATATTTTGCATCATCTTCAATCTCTACTACTGATTCAAAGTCAGATATTTAATCAATCATCACTATGCTTCGTTCGTGAATCTCTGAATTTTCAATATCTCATCAATTTTTCTGCACAGATAAAAAAAAACATCGACATCATAAGAATGTATCAACACAACAACTTCTGCATTCTCAGTTTCAATGCAACAAAAACACGAGAGCAGGAAAAAAGTAAAAGAGAAAGCTGTGAAATTGGATCATCCTAATAAATCTAAGGCATCTCAAATTTAGATACCAAGAAGTTCAAAGTTGATATCAAATCCAACTAAAACGACGACGTCTGCTTCTTCAACTAAAAAAGAAACTCGCCATCCTTACCTAAGAGACAAATTACTTCAAGTATGAAGCACAAAAAAAGGGGGGCACTAACAAAATTCTCCAACAGTTTCTAACTTGTAACCAATTAATAGGAAACTCAAACAGAATTTTCTAACAGTTCTCAACCGATTCCTAACTATTAACAACCCCTAACCAAATCCCAACTGTTATAACTAATTCCTAACAGTTTTCTAACTAACTCTTTATCTCCTAACCAATTCCATAACTACCTCTCTAACTATCCTAACCGATTTTATCAGCTCAGAGATAACCACTTATAATTAATCAGAACCCAAGTAACTAATCCCTAACAGAACAGCTCCAACTGATATTAGGAAAGAAGCCTCCTAATTGTTTCAAAAAGCAGAAACTTCCAACAGAAAAAATAACTAACAAATTCATAACCTCCAAACTGTTTTTTTCTAAGCCAATTTCTATACCAAACTCTCTAACAAAATCCTAACACCTAACAGAATTTCACCTCTAACTCCCCAATCTAACAACCCAGATTCACTCTCCTAACAAAATTCTAACTGCCGTCTATAACTAACTACCCAACCACCTATAACAAACTTTTAACCTAAAACTAACTCTTAACTTCCGAAAACCAAAAAGATAAACTACATATAAGAAACAAGGATACACAAAAGAGGAGGAGGTCCATAACAGAGTGCAGGGGCGGATTCATTCAGTGAGATACGATTATTCACTTGACAAAAATTCACAGAGAAGGATTCAGAAAACTCACTAAGAAAAAGCTGAAACTCTCTCCTTTGTTTGCTTTCTCTCTGAAACATCACCATTCTCTCACAGTGATTCTCTCTCAAATCCCTCACCCTGAACCCTTCTTCATCCTCTCTACACGCGACATTTTTCATCACACATCAATTCAAGTAGAGAGCACTCACATGATGGCTTCACGATCGTCATCAAATCTTCGACAATAATTCTTCACCATCAACATTGAATCGCAGTTAGATTCTGCATCACCATAATATTCACACAGTTGTATCAATAACCATACAAGGCTCAATCAACAGAGAAATCGTAACACATAATAGGTCTCACGGATGTGAAAAATCAAGCGGGATCGTGAAGACGAAGATAAAGAATAACTTTAAGCGTGCATACCTGAAATCTTTGAAACTAATTCACCATCGTCTTCCTCAGCGGTATAGTTAAGTCTCACGATACTTCAATATCCCGCGTCTTCTTTGTTCTCATGACAATCTGAAGGTAGCTTATGGATTATGAGGAGGAACGTCAATGGTTTCCTCTATTAATTTAGCGTCATCCCCGTGAAATTCCACTATGGTAACACCTAGGGTATTTTTTGGAAGAGTGCTTCGATCCCGTTGATTGGTGAGGTGTTGGCGAAAACTAACATTAGATTTGTGTTTAGGGGGTCGAAATAGGTAGGGATCGCATTCAACTTTGGTGATTGGGGGAAGATTCAGGTGGTGGCCGCAATGGAACGACTTCAACAAAAAAAAACACACAAAATCGGATGAATGAAACAAGAAGTTGTTGAGCAGCGGAGATCAATCGAAGTCGCACGCAAAGAAGCCTGAGAACTGCGACTGAGAGTTAAAGACGAAGGAACATAGGCTGATGGAAGAGGCAGACGACGGAGTTCACTCGTGCGGTGCCGTTATGAAGGAATAAGAAGGTGGAATCGGTATCGCACCTCCAGTGAAGCTTCAGGGAAGAAGAAGACAGCTTCATGTGGAATTGGGAATGTCACAAACCCTCCTCAAGCCTATCTGCTCAATACGCCACCGTTTGCCCTTCTTTTCTAGTTGATTGTTTTTATTTATTTATTGTTTTTTATTGATAATTAGAATAATATAAATTGTTGATGATGTTGTTTGATCATGTGGATCGGATCACCTCTCTCCTAAGCCCATCAGATGCATTTTTGTGAAGCCTGGAGAGATTGGAACAAAAAGATAGCTTATTGGATTTTCTGGCAATGGGCCCAACATCATTTTTTTTATTGATTTAGTTGCTTGTGAATAAAAAAACTGGGTTATGGATTCAACCTGATGGGCCCTAGCGCCCTGCTTATGCACACTTACTGAATTCAGGCTGCACCCTTTAGACTTGTTTTTTGCTATTTTGCAATTTTTTTTTTAATTTTGATTATAGTTTAGACTTGTTTTAATTTACTTCACAAAATAAAAATAATAAAAATCAGTAAAATTGGTTAGATTTTTCTTATTTTGATTTTTAGGAATTAATTCGTGGTTATCCGATTATTCGAAATTCATGATTCACCTTTGCTTTGTTGAAATTTAAATCTTATGCAAGTTCATTATGCGATATGCGGATACGCTTGAAATTTCGATTGTGATTTATTTTCACATCGATGATGCTTTACCAATTATTCTGAGTATTGGATTTCTAACTCTTTTCTTTGTTGATGCTAGCAGCTCGCGAGATCATCGAGTTTCTTTGCTTTTTTTGCTTTGCTATACGGGCTAGTACTCGTTTGGTATATTTTCTTTCTATTTTCACCCCGCATTTATCTCTTCCCATGGATCATATGAATTACGATAACATTAGGTTTATAAATAGGCTAGTCTCCTCTTTGACTTTTCTTTCCACATTTCGCATGTGCATTTTAAAAAAAAAACAAAAACTTCTTTTTTTTACAAACTTCAAAAATACTTAAAAATTTACTGACGAGAATCGCGCCTTTGTTGAACATGGGAGATGATAAGCGGGTCTCTTCTCGATCTTGTCGTTTTTCCATTCTAAGCCTTGACATGGTTCAAGTCTCAAAGACTTATTTCACGAATAAGTAGAGAAATGGCTAAAATCACTCTCTTGAGATTAACTAGCTATTATCCACAAGCAAAAATATCAACAAATACAAAATTCTTTTTGCCTTCGGGACTTCCTTTCAAACTCTTTTCAAAAGAACAAGTTAATTCACTTCTGTGCTGACGCGTAAGTCTCCAAAGGTCGAGTTGCGGCAGAAGGCGAAATTAATATCATTCATTTAAAACACAACCAGATTCAAACCTTTTTGTGCACCCATGCACATTTTCTCCAAACTTTTCTCAGAAAGAATATGTTAATTCACTTCTCTGTTGACGCGTAAATCTCCAAAGGTCGAGTTGCGGCAGAAGGCGAAATTAATATTGTTCATTAAAAAATACAAACCAACAAAAATATCTGAGCCGAACTACGGCTGCTCTGATTCCTTAAAAGGGATACGTAGGCATTGGGGTAGGGCCCGAACAAGCACAACTTTTATTTTCCCTACATTCTTTTCCCCTTTCTTTTGCATGCATTCTCCCTTCAGTAGTATAGTAAACAGTAAGCATAGATTAAACACACCCATAAGATAAATAACAAGAGTGGATACCGTAGAGTACTATGGGCGTGTGGGGTGCTAATACCTTCCCCTCGCCTAACAGACTCCCTTACCCTTATCACTCGGTCGCAAGACCGTGACTTCTCCCTTCTCAGGTTTTCTCGATGTTTACCTTTCCCTACATGTGGGATAAAAGATGTTCGATGGTGACTTTATTGTTTGATGATTTTCTGCGGGTTGTTTCAACTGGCAACTTCACTGGGGAAAGGTCGACCAAATGCTGGTCCATCCCGGAGTCGCTCCTAGCTCTTGTTTTCTTTTCTTTGGGTGTTTATTTTTATGCTTTCAGCTTACTCATTTGTACATGTTTATCTAAGCATAAGTTTGCATTGCATTTTATTGCTTTCCATATTGGTTATCTATTATGCTGGATTCTGGTTTTCCATGTTGGGTGGGTGTTACTATTGAGGTAAAAGGCCCAGTACCCAGGCCAGAGTGCACTAGGACACCTAGGAATAGAGTAGGGGCGTGACGGCTATAGGACGTGGTCCGATTAGTGCAGTCATGTCATATACCACGCTCGGATGAGGTTCAATTGGAGGTACATCCATCATGCACGTCTGTGTTGCGATGATTTTACTTTCAAGCGAACCCGTGATTTTCGAGTTACCATCATATTCAGGAAATGCTCAATAATATCCGATGTTCCAGAAGCCTTGACCCCATACAATGGGAGATCTACATGGTACTCGGTTCTTATATGTGCGGAAGCTATGACAATCCTTTGACTTGATGATACTCACATGGTTCAGAAGCAATGCAACAATCATATTCAGAAATGATGGAACCTTGATCCCATTTGATCTCATGCCTTTACATGCATAACATGGTTAACCACATGCTTAACATACATGTTCTATTGTTTCCAAGGAATCATATTTGCAAGCCTAGTGCCAAACTTTTCCATCCTTACTTATGTAAAATCAAAATCAAAGCACATAAATTCCATGGAAATGACGGAACATGACATGGAATCCGTTCATGCATCCCATGCATATTCATGCATTCATAACAGGTACTCGAAGATTGGGGATTTTTTTCTAGACCTGGTGCTCTCCTCAGAGGTTCAACTTGATTTCTTGCTCCACATGTTCAGGGATCAGTTAGGGAATAACTTTGTGTGGTATACATGCAAGCTTTGGCCCATGGTCAGAAATCTCTTCAAGCAGGAAGATAATTGATTGAAAACTCAGATGGGCCAGGTCATGAAAGCTCTGATGATAATGTCAACAATCTCGCACCTACTGCCACAACAGATTCTCTCTTCTTCTCATCTTTTAGGGAACACTTTCAACCATGGAGTGCTACATAATCCCAAGTCCTTATAACATCTTATCAGGAGATGGTTCCCATTTACAGTAGGATCTTATATCAGTGCTTCATTCTTGTTAACCAACGTTAGACGTGATTTCCACCTCGAAGCATCAGACTTTTTAATCAGGGGCATCCTCCACAACTTTATGTTCCTTAATTTGTTCAACAAGAGCCAGTCTTTATTCCCCAAGTGAATTCATGGGGGAAAGCTTTTAAGCCGAGACAGAAGAATCCTGATGAGTATGTTGATGCCAGTCCGTTGCACTACGTCCTATTATCTTCCTAGCTCTGATCTTTGAGGTCTTCCTCCCACAAACATCTCTTCTGATTACGATATACAGGCTAAATGCATCCCCTATTCTGGGGCACCCGGTTTTGATATTAAAGACTACAAAGGGTTGAAATATAAAGCCAAGCACCTGTTTGGCGTCTCTTCCAAAAGTTTATGTTGATTCGCTTAGTAAAGAATTCATTTGTTCTCCTGAAATAATCTTCTACACGTATTATTCTGGGGCAATTGATCATTCAAGTGAAGATGGTACGTCATCCAGAGACAAGGTCCAAGACGAGATCAATCCGGAGACTGTGGTGTCCGAATCACGTCGGAAGAGGAATTCTCTCACTCACCTCGTGCATCTTCATGCATCTATAGAAGGTACTCAGAAGGTACTCGGAATGGGGAATCCTTATTCGGACTCAGTATTCTCTTTTCAGAATTGCCAATCTTGACTTCTCGCCGCTTCGTGATCAGATTCAAGTTATGAAACAACTTTGTGGGGAATTGGATGAGATGAAAAGAATCAGATGGGGGCTGTTTATTGGGGTTATGCAAGCAATGGCCTATAGTCATAAATCCTCAAGGGAAAAATAGCCAGTTGAAGACTTAGTTGAGCCGGGTATGGAAGTTTTGAAGACAGTGTCGGCAAAGAAAAGCGATATTGTATACGTTGTTGAAACAGGAGCTGTCATTCACCCCCAGCCTATGTGAATTTCTTTTCAAATCATGAGATACTTTGTGGGTCTCACCCAGAGCTTCGTGTTCTCAGATTTTCTTGCTAAGCAGCTAGTTTCTGGTCTCCAAGTGAACTCATGGGGTAAAACTTACCAGGAGAGACAGAAAAAGCTTGAGAAGTAGGTTGATAAAATCTGTATACCTTGTATCCAACTACTTCCTCGTGTGTT